GAGGACGCACAGAAGCCATGCCCTGTAACCACTGACCTCTGTCATATTACATGAGGAACAAAGAAATAGGCTTTTTAAGGCTCCTGTTTCAGTTAGGCCTGACCAAACGCAAAACTTGATCACCATCAAAAATACGACCATCAAAAATAGAAAACCCAAGTGAATCTATACTCACATTTTTTAGGAATAATAAAAGTGAGATGCCTGGGTGGCTCAGCCAGTTAAACATCTGACTCTTCATTTTGGCTCAGGTCATGATCTCAGGGTGATGAGATGGAGCCCCACATGGGGCTCCTCACTGGATATGGATCCTGCTTCAGATTCTCTCTCTCCCACTCCCTCTGCCCCTCCCCTCCTCTAGAAACAATAAAAACATTCAGCAATATACTGATATAATATATAAAATCAATTTTATGTCTATCTATATACTACCAAGGAGCTCAGAAAATGGAAATTTTTTTTAAGAATTTTTATTTATTTATGATAGTCACAGAGAGAGAGAGAGAGACAGAGAGAGGCAGAGACATAGGCAGAGGGAGAAGCAGGCTCCATGCACCGGGAGCCCGACGTGGGATTCGATCCCAGGTCTCCAGGATCGCGCCCTGGGCCAAAGGCAGGCACTAAGCCGCTGCACCACCCAGGGATCCCAAAATGGAAATTTTTAAAAGGTGTAATTTATAATATCGATACAAAATATAGGATTGCTAGAAATAAATCTTATATAAGATGTGCAGGATCTTATGGACAAAATTTTTAAATTATTGAAAGCAATGAAAAAGTTTTAAGTAAATGGAGAGAGATATTATGTTTACAGAAGACTCAATCACACATAGGAATTTTCTTCCTCAATTGTTGTATTCTTCCAACTAATCTGGAAATGAAAAATAATTCCAATAAAACTTACAATGGAATTGTGTACATGACACTCATCAAGTTAATGCTAACATTTATGAAGATCGAAAAGCCAGGAATAACCACGAAATTCTCTCCACAAAGTTGGGAGACTCCAGTTGGCCATATTTCAGTATTATAAAGCTACTGTAATCAAGGCAGTGTGGGATCAGTACAGAAAGAAGTGTGTAAGCCAAGAGAACAGACTAGAAATTCAAGAAGCATCCCCCTGAATGTGAAGACTTATGGTTGGAGAAAGTATGATGAATGGTGCTAGGGCAACTGGTTACCGGTAATGGAAAACAAAATCAGATCTCTAGCTCATATCATACACAAAAATCAATTTCAGGTGCAAGAAAAGACCTAAAAATAAGACGTAAAACTACAATGTGAGAATGTCTTTATGACTGTGGGGAATAGAAAGATGACTTCAGACAAAAACTACAAATCCCCAAGAAAAAGATTGATACATTTGACTGCCTTTAACTTACTAACCTCAACACATACAGAAATGCAGTAAACAACTGGAAAATGCAAAGTACAGCCAAGAAGAAGATAATTGGGACTGAAGTACTTCTTTTGTTTTTCTTTTTAAAAGATTTTATTTATTTATTCATGAGAGACACAGAGAGAGAGAGAAGCAGAGACACAGGCCGAGGGAGACGCAGGCTCCATGCAGGGAGCCTGACGTGGGACTTGATCCCCGGTCTCCAGGATCACGCCCTGGGCTGAAGGCGGCGCTAAACCGCTGAGCCACCCAGGGATCCCTGGACTGAAGTACTTCTAATAATAAGGGAAAACCAAATAGTCCAAGAGCTAAAAGGGCAAAAGAAAGTGATGCACAGAAGAAGAAACCGGCATGGTTAATAACTACAAAAAATGCTTTCCTCAGTGGTAACCAGAGACCATGATGAAATATCACTGACATGCATCACACTGGCAAAAATGAGGAGATCTGACAATACCAAGAATTGCGTGAGGATGCAGAGCATGGGAGCTCCTGCGTTCTCCTGGGTGAGTGTACAATGGCATACCCACCATCAGAGCATATGGCACACCTAGTAAAGGGGAAGGTGCTCTTGCCTATGATGCAGCTATTTTACTCCAAGTGTACACGGCCTAGAGAAACCCTGGTACCAGACACATGTCACAGAATGTTCACAGCATACGGCTATGAAGTAAATTATTGTCAAACACGTAAAGTTTCACTCTGGTTGATGGGTACAAAGGCACCTTTTTAGAGACAGAATGTAATGAGAGATACTGCAGATTGAAAGAGGGAAATCAGATTAGCTTCAGAACTTGGGGCATCATGTTTTAGAGTGGGTAATGACTGGGACACAGCCAGCCTCTGGACCCCCTGCGGGATTTTTTTTTTTTAAGAAAGGCAGACTGCCACAAACAGCACCTCATACGGATGTGTCTGGTGTCCTGGAAGCTTGAGTACCCTACGTTTTCCTACACATGGACCCTGAGTGCTTGTCTGGAGGTTCTAGCAGAGGTATACAGCTACTCGTATACCCTTGATCAAAGAACGATTTTCCTCTATCAGAGAAGGTTGTCCTCTATGATCCAGGGCACAGCCTTGGGAGCAATGCACGAGGAATAGTGGGGAGAGTGGAAGGGGACACTTGCCTAGCCAGCCAGAGCAGCCAAGATCAACCCTGGTGATCAATGGGTGATGGTGTCACAGCCAGATCACCCTCACATCCCTGAGGGAAACTGATAGGTTTCCTTAGGAGCACTTGCAGGTTTTCCTTGACCTAAGAGGTGAGCAGCACCTGAGTTACTGCACCTTATTTCTCCTTCCTGGGCCATCCTGTCACTTCACAGTGTGCCTGATTGGTTGACATTGACCGAGGTCTCTGCTTTCACAATGACAGTGAGTTAAGTAGGGCCCCTGCCCTCTCCATGAAAGATATCTAGACACTGTTCTTCAAGTTGACATTGCATCATTTCCCAGATGTTATTACTACTTTTTAATGATGTAATATTACCTATCACAAGACCCCATTAGTTAGCACTTTGACCACAGAGAATTGCTGAAACAGTCTGTCTCGTTTTCTTGCCCTGCATACTGCATTAAGTGGGTATTTATACATTGTACATAAAATTGTAGAGGAAAAAAATTATGGTTGCAAAATCAAAGCAATCTGTAAATATATAAATAAGTAACAGTACAGAGTATTTCTGCAGGACTAAAAATTATCACGGAGAGTAAGATTAAATGCCATGGCATGCCCGAGGTCCCCTTCCCAGAGTCAGCTTCATTACATGGAATTAGGACATACCCATTACTGTAGGACACAGGGAATCAGAAGATGTTCTGGAGAGCCCTAGTGGATCCTGTATAATCCTCTGACTCTGTCCCATCACCGTGAGATAAAGGAAGTGAAGCCACTGGCTGGACTGCCAACCGTCCTCCCTGCTCAGTACTCCTCCTAACTTGGTGACAGCCCTGAAGAGTGAGGTCACTGCCGGTTCCAGAAGGATTTCACCAGTGTCTAGACTGGGTCCTGGGAATGAATGGAAATCTAAAAGAGTATATTTGTTTTAGGTTGGAAATGTATGCATAAAAAGTTTCTAATGGGAGCTCATGTCAGCTTCAGGTAAACAGCTTCAAAGCCTGTCATATATTTCTGTGCACCAAAGTGGATCTGTCTCACTGTCCTTTCAAATTCTGATGAGCTCTCTAGACATTTGCCTCAAAATACCTCTAGTTTTTCCTAATTGTTGCAGCAGTGGCTCATAGAAAAGTCTCTTAAAATATCTTTTTATCTTCAAATTATTTACTTCTTGAAATATTTATTTCCTCGTGGGAACCTAAGAGTTTTACATGTTATAAAAGAATGACAAGATTCCATATTTTAATTTTTTTACGACCTTAGAGGTAACTGGTCAATCAGGAGACAATCCCTTTGACATCCACAAAGCTCTTTGATTAAATTACTACCATTCTTAAAGAGACTAGAGTTGACCTATTTCACAAGCCTCATGGTTTATTTTGGAATCAGCACTTATTTCATGAAAAGATCCACTCATTTTCTGTTCCTTTCAAATCAGACAGTTTTAGTACAACTAGGACCTATTACAGTTAATAAGTACTGGGAAACATTTTAAAACTTAGTAAAAGCAGCTAATCTTATAAAATCTCAGAGGTTTGACTATGAAAAGAACTTGCTACTTTAGTTAGAATAGCTACTTCTCTGAAAAGTAAAGTAGGTTTCAAGAACACAAAATCATGAAGAAGGCTGGACTAAGAATTCTTAGATTCAACACCAGAAGTACAATCCATAAGACGAAAATCAGACTTCATCAAAACCAAATTAATAAATTTAGTGAACTAAATCTCAGAAAATGATAGAAGTTAAAGACTTTGAGACAGTATTTTCAAGTGATGTATCTGATAAAGGACTTTCTGGAATGTATAAGGAAATCTTACAACTCAACCTTAAAAGGGAAATAATGCAATTAACATATGAGCAAAAAGGGCAGCCCAGGTGGCTCAGCGATTTAGCACTGCCTTCAACCCAGGGCGTGATCCTGGAGAAAAACTCTGTATTTCATACTCTGTTACATGGAGCCTGCTTCTCCCCCTGCCTGTGTCTCTGCCTCTCTCTCTCTCTCTCTCTGTGTGTGTGTCTCTCATGAATAAATAAATAAAATCTTTAAATAAAAAAAATATGAGCAAAAGATCTGAAGACACTACACCAACGAAAATAAACGGATGACCCATGAGGACATGAAAAGGTGTTTGACATCATTAGTCATCAGGGAAAAAGCAAATAAAACCACAGTGAGATACGATGGCATATCCACTAAGATGTGTAAAAACAAAATAAAAAGATAGTAACAAGTGTTGGTGAGGCTGTGGGAGAAACTGGAGACCTCACACATCGCTGGTAGGAATATGAAATGGTGCAGCTGCTTTGGAAGATAGCCTGGCAGTTCAATGAAAGGTTTAACACAGACCTACCTGTGATCCAACAGGCTCACTGCTAGGTATATACCAGACACACACACACACACACACACACACACACACACACACACACTTTAAAAAAGAAAGAAAAAAAGAAAACCACCCTTCGTGCAAGGGTTTTACTTACTGAGGTTCCACTTTAGGCCTGTTGTCGTAACATGATTACAAGACTGTCCAACGGGAATAAGGCCACACCAATCACCTTCCATTCCAGTGTCTACATGCATTTTGTGCTTCCCCTGAAGTAGAGAAGGAATGATCATTAGCATAGTGAAGAGAAAGGACAGGATGTCAGTGTGCCCTGAAGACCTGGTCGTATGCACCAGGTACCATCCCAGAACCACACACAGCTCATCATACTTAATCCTAACAACAAATTTAAGTGGTACATGATGAAGAATCCCAGGAACTTTCACCTGATTTAATCTTAGCCACAATTTTAGAAGGTAGTTTACTGCTAGTTAATACTTTTACATATGAGAAAATTGAAGTTTGTAGAGATTAAATGTGTCCAGGACCATACAGATAACAAGGGGGCAGAATCAGGATTTCTACCTATACTTGCCAATTCTAAGACTAAACGGATTCCGCATGCTAACGATGTAGCACTCTATGATAATTCTAGGGTTTTAATCAAATACTTGCTCGAGTGTAAATAAAACACTGCTTCCTAAGTAAAATCTCTACTTTACCTCAGACTTGGGCGTCTAGCTTTCAGAATTCAATGTTAATCTTGCTAATAACATTTAGCCCGCTTCCTATACCCATGGTTACTCTAAGGGATGCTCAATGAGAAGTATCTCTACCAGGAAATGGTATCTACCTTGAGGAATGAGTATGCTTCCTCCATCTGGATTAGGAAAGCTGATATAATTTACTATGTTTTCAAGTTTTCAGTTTATAAGAAGGTTAAAGTTAAATGTAATGTTTAATCAAGGCTACAATGATTGCTTTTAAATAGAACACTTGGAAATTCCTCTTCTTCTGCAAAGTAATGACTTTCCATGACGCTTCTATTCTAGTCATTATCCTTAGGGTATATGATATTCTTTATTTTAATAAAATATTATTTAAAAGTTGGATATATGACACATTACCAGAGTAAGGTACTTATACCTCCTTCTACAGCATTTTATTTCAACTCTGTATTTCATACTCTGTTACAGGCTCTGAGAACTTACTCTCCTCTATATAAGACCTTACAGTACAAGTAGCTTTGTCTTTAGTCAAAGGATTGCTTTTATTAGGAAAACAACTCTCTAAATTATTTATCAGTTCTTGAAACTTAACACAAGTTCATGTAGGTCTTTACTACCTATACAACTCATAAATATGTATTTTTATTTGAACATTCAACCAGAAGGCATATATTCAATTAAGAGGGCTTAAATATATTCAAACACAATGAATGTTTAAAGAAAACATAAAGTATATTTGTACTTGATGCCCATCACTGGAAAAAACATGGGTATCAAATGTAGACATACACCAAGCAATGGGTTAGATGCACTCAGAGAAATGTGGATGGACTGAAAATATAATGCATTGTAAAACAATGCCCCATAAGAAACAGAATTAGGATAGATTACAGACCCCATCTATATAAATTCAATAAAATACAAACTCAACAAGATACTTCTAATAACAAAATTTAAATATATATAAAAAATTTAAATATATATATGTGTGTGTGTGTATGTACACACTAACGTGTGTACAATCAATAAGGATTCTTGCCTGGACCAGGGATGATAATGTGCCACGAACCAAGCAACATCACTGACTCAACACTGAAATCTTATAAAAAAGAACCGTATGCTTTTTAGATATAAAGCAATATAGGACAGAAATTCTTAGACTCTTGTGAAGAAAAAAAATAGGGAAAATATTGTAATAATTCTAAACAATAATTCAAGAAAGAGGAATAATTGGGATACAGCAATGGAAAAAACTCAGGAGTGAAATGAAAACTAATACTGTTTTTGAAAACTGATCTTTGTCATTTTTGTTTTAGGTCAGTTTAGAGCAAAAGCATAGAAACTATTATTATAGCAATGGGAATGTTTTAGATATTCAGAGTAAAAGCAGTAACTGTCAGAAGGTACAAGTAAGGAAGAGTGGAAGAAAGTAAGTGGCCCTCATCTTCTCATCAGGTTACGTTGTAAGAGAGTCAATAAATAGTGCCTAAAGTAAGTAGATTTTTGGGCAGCCCGGGTGGCTCAGCGATTTAGTACCACCTTCGGCCCAGGGTGTGATCCTGGAGACCCAGGATCAAGTCCCACGTCGCACTCCCTGCATGGGGCCTGCTTCTCCCCATGCCTGTGTCTCTGCCTCTCTCTCTCTCTCTCTCTCTGTGTGTGTCTCTCTCATGAATAAACAAATAAAATCTTTTTTAAAAAAATAAAGTGGTAGATTTTTAAAGGGCAGGACTGAAAAATTTGGTCTGACCTGAGTAACGGGTAATGTGGGTATCATGCCTAAGAAGCAGAAAAGGGACAGAGGAGGGAGACTTGAAATAGCTCTGGCCTTCCTCTGGTCACACTCCTCATTCATAAACCTCTGCACCAGCATCAGAGACGTCCCTCCTGCAGCTGTCTACGGGCAGACTGTGACCACTGCAAGGAAGGTGAAGCACAGAGAAGTAGGAAAGACACTGACCAGAGACCCAGTCAGGTGCAGAGGAGTGGGGGGCAGAGGGTGGGCCAGGGACAGGAGCAGAACTCAGGTCCATGAAGGAGGGTACATAGGTGCAAAGCCATGATGCAGAGTCAGGACACCTACTGACTGCGCCCTGCAGGTAGGGCAGGACGGAGTGGGGTGGGGGGCACAGGAGGTTGTCAGGGCAGTGATGCTATTCCGTGTGACCCGAGGATGACAAACACATGCCCTTATACATTTGTCAAGACCCACAGAATCTGTAACACCAGGAGTGAACCTAACATAAATTATGGGCTTTTGAAAATAATATACAATATTGGTTTGTCATCTGTAACACAAGCACCACACCGATGCGAGATAAGAGGGGAGACTGTGAGCAGGAGAGAGGACATACGGAAGCTTCCTGTCTAATCTGCTCAATTTTCTGTAAACCCAAAACTGTTCTAAAAATAGTTTATTAATTAAAAAAAAAAAGTATCTCCATGACCTTTCAGTTTCTTGTCCCTTACTGGGACTGGCAGCGGTGGGATGGTGGGTGTGAAACCTATTCCAGCCAGATGAACGGTACAGCCCAGAGGGAATTGTGCAGCTGTTTCTCAGCAGCCATTACAACTTATGCTGTTTCCCCCACCTAAAAACAGGCAGTTTTGTTTGTTTAAATCATCAGCTGCCTTAATTTCTTCATACAGAATTTCCTCCTAAATTGATTTACATGGACTAGCTTTGCCAGGTGAGTTTGAGTATTGTTTCTCCCTACCACTCTCCCTTACAGAAATAACTCTCTCTGAAGGTACAGATGCTAAAGATAACACAAATTATCATCCATAAGGTGCCAAACATAACACACCTTAACAAATTCTGAAAGCCTCCTTCACAATGAAAGGGAGTATTGTAGAAATTCTGATTTTCTTCATAGTACCTTGGTTTTAGCAGCAAAGGGATAGAAAGCAGTGGTGGCTTTTCATGTTGGTGGGTCATGGCCTGATAAGGCCCATCTTCCCAGGGTGCCCACCAGAAAGCACAGCATACCAGGGGGTTACAGGTCACCCACAGCCTCGTGAGCACTGGGTGGCAGACAGCATCAGAAGGGCAGGGATGCTCATCTGGCCCAGATGGCTCTAGCCCTGTCTTGGGTAACCACGTCTTTGACAATGAGGCCCACAGTTAGAGACTGTGACTTCTTCATTCCTTATCAAAGAGGGATCTGTGTGTCATTGGGCTGTCTTACTTTCGGTGTGTTATAGTTAACCCTGATCTTTTCATTGTTTGTGGTCTGCGTTAGGGTTTGGTTGCGGTCAGCTGAGCACATTCGTATGTTTGGTGTTCCCGCTAACTTCTATAGAGAACGGTGGAGGAGCTGGATGTGCGGGGCAATGTGGGGAGTGGGGGTGTGTATGAAATAGGTGATGTGGATGAAGGAGGGCACTTGTGATGAGCACTAGGTGATGTATGGAAGTGCTGGATCACTCCATTGTACACCTGAAACTAATATAACACTGTGTTCACGATACTGGAATTTTAAATTAAAAAGAAAAAAAAAAGAATGGTTAAGGAAGTAAGGGACGGTTTCTCAACGGGTGGACATTAACTCCCTAAGAGAAGATTTTTCAACTTGTATCTTATAATGCAAAGGAAACAGCACATATACATGTTAAGTTTTATTATCCCAGGGAGAGGATGCTGTTATAAAATCCACTGATTTAAATGACACAGTGGTAAGCTTTCTTTTCTAGGCTTGCTATATATTCATTGCCTCCCTCATTATGTTAACATTCAACACACCTTGAAATGTTTAATCTGGGAATAAACTAGTTTGTAGACTTGAAAAGTCACAGATAGGTTTTAGCCTGCAGTCAATTAATATTTTTTCCCTTGTTCCAAAAAGACGTTTAGCCATACGTGAATGGTCTTTGTGTTCATAAATATGCAGATTTAGCTTCGTATGGTTAAAGGAGAGCATTATTATGCTTTACTCCTATATCTTCAGTCGTCTGTGTGACATCTTTAAAAAATGAACAAAAGGAATTTTTGTTCATTCCTCAGATTTCCCGATTCGTAATATATGCTAGCCTATATGTGATTTGACATAGGCAAGCATACAGCCTGACATTAAAGAACTTCCCTAAAGATTTATGCCATTACTGGAGACTAGAGGCACATGAACTAATCATTGACTTCCATCTACTCTCATGAATCACAGCACAAGTTCCTGTTCCGTCCCCTGTTTGGAGCTAAGATAACTCTTTGAAGTCAAAGGCAGTTCTATATAGTAAAGATGGGACAAAAATCGATCAGATGGTTTGCTTTTCCAATCATGGTTATTTTTAAACATATTAACAACTGCAATCCAGTATGAAATTGTAATTTAGTGAAAGGCAGCAATGCTATTGCTTGGCATCTGTGCTGGAAATCCATACTTATGAGCAAGTTATAGGCAGTCAGCATCAGGAGATCACTTTCGCTAGACTAATGTCAACCAAGAGCAGAACATATACCAACAGATACATAAAGAAAGGATTAGAAATCAGTGTCACCTGACTTGTATTATGCTTCCTCTTTGCAAATGACTAAGATTCCACTG